CCCTATATCAAACAGTTTGGGAACCAGTGCTCTAGTCTGTTTATTTAACAGAGACCAAAACTAAGCATAATGGACAGTAAAGTGGATACGATATGCTATCACACACATACACATACACACACACACATACACACAAACACATGTAGACCAACTGTTTACTGTCGAAGGCGTAATGGCTGGTCAGTTAACAGTAATGAACAGTAAGGTGGGTAGGAGATTCTGTCTCTCTCTCACACACACACACACACGCACACACAGAGAGAGTCAGTTCCTCCATATTTATCTACATCACATCTTGAAGTGGGATACCAGTAAGAGAAACCGCAATACTATTTATTCTCCTTATCTTTGTCTTTCCTTATGGATTTTCAGACCTAGCTGTTGTGATCTCGCATCAAGTGTATTTAATTTATCTTGTATCTGATTCCTTGAGGGGGACAGAAGAGAAATGTAATCCGCAAAGTCTAGATCATCAAACTGATTTGTAGGGGTCCACTGAATTCCATTCCTGGTGTCAGCAACTGCTGTCTTCATAATCCAGTCTATAGGAAGTTAAAAAAGTAGGAGAGGGTACAAAAGACACCCCTGTCACAGACACACCTATTCTTATTTCAAAGGTTGATAGCTTTCCTAATTTCCCTGTTTAGATGGTATCTCATAGTTGATATCTAGTTCCATTTCCAAAAGTAGGATTTCTGGAGGAACCCCTGAAGCTGGTCTATTCAGAAGTATTTCAAAATTCATTAGAAGGTTAGTTGCGTATCCTTTACAGGACGTTGCAGAACCAACCCCAACAGCCCCTGGCCGTTGTGTGGTTTTTCTAGACAAATTTACGTCCAGTAGACTACACGGAAATAGTTTCGCCATAAAACGCGGATGTCAGCAGACAATGTACCACAGCAAGCTATGATGTACAGACCAGACCGAAAGCAAAGAGAAGGCCGATCATACAAGCAATGGGCAGAAGGACAATGTACCACAGCAAGCTATGATATACAAACCAGACCGAAAGCAAAGAGAAGGCCGATCACACAAGCAATGGGCAGAAGGAATTACAGAGTCCCTGGGAATCCAAATGTACGAAGCACAAAAACGATTTCTTCTAGTAAATTATACTTCATATCGATAGTGCTTGGTACAAGAGGATCAAGATAAGATAAGTCGATTTGTTTCCAGTTTCAATGACTATTGCTTATTCTCTATTCGACCATCAGCATGTGTTTGAAATTTATTTTTTTCTGAATTCTCCTATTTTCGCAATCCTTTTATTTTGTCCAACTAAAGGTTGAAAAATAGACTAAAGGTAACGTAGTAGCTAAACACTTGTCTGCGGGCTTAAAGGTCTTGGGTTCGAGTCTAGTCGGATTGTCTTTAAATATTGACCTTGGCTCCAGACTGAAGTGGGTACCAGGTAATGTCATGGGAAATAAAGGTAGTCGGCGTGATATTGACCAAATCCATCTACAGCTTGTTCCCGATGGGCAACTTTCAACCAGAAGAGGACTTAATTAAAGGAAGGGACATAAGCGAGGGTAATTTGAATTTATGACTAACTATTCCAACAAACTAACTGCCAAATTACTGCTATCATCCTGCAGTAAATAGAAATAGAAACCCAACAATATGGAATGTTTTCATTCACAGGCACAATCTTGACCGTGTCACAGACTTCGTGCAATGTACTGATGTATCTCGTATGTAATACACATGTCTTTTTTCAAATCAGACTGACAAACTTATTGAAATATTCGTTAGAGATAAAAGTGATTTTAAATATCTCGCCATCCCTCTGTGGGATGAAATTTTTCGTTATTTGAAGCCCTACTCTGGTTCTTGCCAGGGGCTGCAATATAGCCCGGCCATAAATATGGTCTAATGGCTGAACGTGGTTTCTGGGACCTCTCCACTGTGATCGTCATCCATCTAGTGGCACTTTGTGTCATCGGGTGTTTATCGCTTGTGTGATGTCCTGGTGGGGTAAAATTACAAAGTAAAGTAAAGGACCCTTTTTCCCGCCTCTAGGCATATAGGGCTAGATCTATTTTTTTAGACCAATCGGCACCAATGAGGGATGTGGTCAGCATCACGTCGGCAGCCTTTACATTCTGGGACTGCACTCGGTACCCACTCAAGGCTGGGTCGACCTCGGAGCCAATGTCATTTTTGAGAAAGGTCCGGCTTAGCCAGGAAGCGAACCTATGACCTTCCGATCCGCGACGAACGTCTAGTCGCTCCGCCGAGGCGACTCCCAGGTAAAAGTACTACACACACACACACACACACACACACACACACACAATACAGAGAGAGAGAGAGAGAGAGAGAGAGAGAGAGAGAGAGAGAGAGAGAGAGAGTTGAGTGCATGGTTCAAGACTGTAAGCTACATTTCAAAGGCAATACTTTTGTGTCCTTGCCATTGGACATGTATGTTGTGAAGAGCATATTCTGAAAATTCTGCTTCCATCAAACAGGAATAGCCATTTTACTGCCACGCTATAGAAACTGGCACCTCTAGCGACTGCCTTATGTTTTAAATGCTTGTGCGAGCAGTTGGATTTTGCTGGAACTGCTGTCTGTTTGACTTTTCAAGTCGGAGAGTGATAGGAATGTGTTACTGGTTTTAAGTGGCACATGAGCAGAGTAGTTATGTCATGATTCGTTTAAGATGAACTTGGATTTCCTAACTGATAATCAGATTTTTTTTTTTCACAGTCTTTGGAGCCTCTGTTTTGTATTAGTTATGTTTCCACAAATTACTTTTTTGTAAATACACATCTCTGGAGTTCCCATGATCGCGTTTTCATTTTTCAATTTTTTACACTACAAAGTACGACTGAATATAATACCCGACGGAAGTTGTATCACAAAGGTAACGAACAAAATAGGTCAGGCCAAAACTGTATTTTAGGTAGGCAGGTAGTTGTAGTTGTACCCCACCAGGACATTACACAAGCGATAAACACCCGGTGACCCAAAGTGCCATCATGCGGATGA